ATTACTATAAGGACAACAGTAGTGCACGGTTTTAGTTACAGATATGCAATGGATGAAGGGACCGCAGGATAGGTGATTGATATCTGATCTAGACACAGTTATATTTTACATTGCCTTGTATGCATGGATGACGAACGATATTTTTCGCCAAACATCGACGTCCGGCGTCCGCTCGTCAACTTTAAATTTGTTTTCTTAACTTTGTTTATAGTAAGAAGACGACCTTCACTCTTTTATCAGTTTGGGATGACATTTTAAAAAATCTTTTAAAACAAACTGAAGGGATAAAAATAAAGAGTACTTAATGCATTGTGGTATGTATCACATAAACACAAGAACCACTGTGTATTGTGTTTCTCCTATAGATTTTCGGTTTATGTAAAGTGTTTATCAACAATTATTGAGAATACGAACACACGACATTATTGTCATAGTGAAATAATGGTTGTTGTAAATATTCTTATCTTTTTAAACTTTCTGATCAATAACACAGAGGGATAGTTGTAAAAGAACTGCTGACCACACATTTTTTATGGTAGCATTTTCGCTAAAAGTTTCATTACGGAGACATATCACATTGTACTTATATTTCTATCATTAAGAGTTGCAGAAAATAGCACGCGCAGCGTTTATACTCAATAACATTGATCCGAGATGAAAGTCGTACTCAAACACGTATTTGCTAATAGATAAATAATCATTAGTGATATTCCGCCTGGGACTAACGATGGAGAACCGGACTTGACCTAAAATCGAAAGTAGGGAAAAGATAGGGACACCAAAACAATGAATCTACAAACCCAGATCAGCATATTGATATTTTCAGTTGGTGAGGACAATTTCTTCCGTCATGATGTTTCGATTCAAATGCAAGAATATACGTGTTTCTTTTTAATTACAATCTGAGACATAATCTACTGAGCTTCACTCAGTTAACAACAGTTTAAACGTTTAAATGGGGTCAAGGTGAGAACCCTGTTTCTCTGTCAGCAAGTCCAAACGAAGACAATTATTATTGAGTAACTGAAAGCGTTTTAGAAATCCGTTTTCTTAGTTGTGTAATCTCCATAAACATAAACGAAATAGTGTTATCAATAAAAAGGCTGTGTAGCGAACCTGCAATCGAACTCTGCATATTTTTTTAATGTTATGATATAGGTCAATGACAAGATGTGAATCGGATGAGGAAAAATCACTGATTTACCTGGTAAAAGTACTTCATAGTTTTAGTGGTATATGTGGCCTTCAGTTGTGGACAACTTATAAACATTTCATTGGAACTATATATCACCTCAGCTTAATTAAATCAATAGTAATCCAATTAAATTTAAATTCAAGGTTTCTTCGGTCAGCCTGTGCATTTCATTGTAATATAAGAAGGTGTTTATTTTTTCATTTTCCTTAGTCGCTTCAAATTTTTCAAATTTTATCGCTGACGAGTCATAGTTTAATCCATTATATGGCTTTACTGTATCTTATCTATATTTGAATTAAATGTTGCTATTTCCATCAATGTCCTTTGTACAGTATCTCTCAGTTTACGCCGGCTTGCCTAGCAGACCCCGTTGTTTTATTTTAAGATGCGATTAACGTGGAATCTTTGTCTTTTCTCTGTAAAAGCTCCTTTCCCTTATGACTTTCTTGAAACGAGCTCTCTTTTGGCTTTTCACGGTGTTAAGGAAACGTTTGGGTTCTGTTCCCATGCTGTGACATACTGTTGTAATTAAAATGATACTTCTTTCACCTTTCCATTCACTCAGCATTTGATTTTATGGAAAGGGTCTGGTTAGCCCATTTGTCACAATAATGTGACTTCGTGGGTTGTATGCATTGCTACAATGGTTATGTTAGGGTAATTCGGTATGACGACACTATAAAAGCTCCCGTTAATAGACACAACACTTGAGAATACCGTCTTCATATATTAACTTGATCCTTGAGAGGAGCGTAAACCACACCAAAGGCAAAAATAATCTGCGTTTCGTATTCTGAAACAGCAGAGACTGAACATTACCTTCTTGATGTCGAGATGGAGGTTTGATTTAGATCGCTTTTATAAAATGTAGTCACAATTGAATTGCTTCATGGAACGTATTAATAGAAGCTGTCGTTTGGTAGCAATGTAATAAAAATGAAGTTTAATTTAAGTTACAGTTTTGCTAGGGAACTTTTTGTCATAACTGATTGTAATAAAAACGCCATTTGTAATACGAGGACTGGTTATCAAGTCAAAATAATTCGTCTTTATGATATTTGTTAGCACTGAAATATCATTAAGTCAATTCATTGTTTTGCGATAAAGATTAATGAAGTTTTGTAATACCCCGAACCAAAATGTCGCGTGGGAACGAACGAGTTTCGTGTGTTACAAACTGAGGTTTTATATTTCTATAGTCTTGTATTCTTTTGTTAGCAATACTGATATCATGTTGGTGTATGATACATGCACTTTAGTAGTTAATGCTTTAATATTTATTTCAAGATGTGGCGAGTATATCAGTAATTACAACTCTTATCATGTAACCATATTTATATATCCACTTCGGCTATTAGAGATTATAAAGTTCCGTGCTTATTTTTTGCGACATGAAGCTGGATGTGTTTGACGCTTGTTAATTTGCCTGGTTATTTTTAGGGTTTTTTCTTGTTGTATACATAGTTTGAGAACCTGACATTACTTACTTGGATTGACCAAGGTTTACATGGCGAGTGTCGTCCTATTTTATTGAATTTGAGTTTCGATTATAGGTATGTTGACATGTTGGTGTTTTCATGGGTTTTTTTCAAACTCCTCCATTGTCCAAAATCTTAATCATAAATATTCCGACTGTGGTAAATTGTATATAACATATATATATAGAATATAAGTCAGTAATTGTCTTAGAAGGTATCACGGTCAACTCTGGAAGAAGTTCTGTCTTGATTATATCAAAGGTCATTTTCAGGAAATATATAGGTATTTTAATACTGACAAATGAGAGAGACAACTACAGTGAAAGGATAACACTTCGATATATTGACATTAATTGTCTCTGCCTACAGTGTTTGATGTTTGGTTAAACTGGTGTCACTGCCTACAGTGTTTGATGTTCGGTTAAACTGGTGTCACTGCCTACAGTGTTTGATGTTCGGTTAAACTGGTGTCACTGCCTACAGTGTTTGATGTTTGGTTAAACTGGTGTCACTGCCTACAGTGTTTGATGTTCGGTTAAACTGGTGTCACTGCCTACAGTGTTTGATGTTCGGTTAAACTGGTGTCACTGCCTACAGTGTTTGATGTTCGGTTAAACTGGTGTCACTGCCTACAGTGTTTGATGTTCGGTTAAACTGGTGTCACTGCCTACAGTGTATGATGTTTGGTTAAACTGGTGTCACTGCCATGAAGACCATGAAGCTAACGATGAAAACATCCTTTATTGATGTGTTTTACACTTCACACTAATGTTAGACTATCGTTAGAGAATGGTCGGTCTTCGATATTTTCGATTGAATTTTATCCAACATGATTAATAATTCATTGGCTGTTCAAGAATTAATTATTTCAAATAAATGTCAACGTGAAAGTAGTTTCCAGTTGACATTTGCAATTTGCTGTATTCGTATTCCTCAGCGTATTTACTATATATCCATTGAAGTACTCCAATTTACTAAACTTATCTTTGTCTTTATATTCCTAATATTATTTTCTATATATATAAATGTCCGAAAGCAGATCATTTTATATCATCAGATTTAACGGACAACTGAACTATTGATTAGTGCGTGGTTTATCGCCAGTTAAATAGATATACAGAACACTGGGCCGTCAAACGAATCTGTATATATTGGTATATATTGGTGTGTACCATCAGGTAGCTGTCTGGCCCCTGTTAAGCATAGTTAGAGTAAGGGTTAGAGGGTAGTGAAAAAGAAATGTTGCCGATGACAAAAATCTGTCAGTAAACAATATCAATCTTCCCAGTCTCAACAAAACTAAAGTTGTGAAATGAAAGAGAATGTTTCCAACTTTGTTAAATTCATATTTGAATATTTTCGCTAACCGCTAGTTATCCCTAAACCAACCTTGGGTAACCGAGACCTGGTGTTCGTAAAGTTTGAGTCTGAGTTTTTTCGTCGGCCTTTGCTCTCTGTATCACTTTCGGATTCGGACAGATTTAGACCCGATGGAAGTCATTTCTGTCATTGGATATTGGTGACCTAAAATGATGTTGCACATTCTAAAAGCAAATACCAGACAACAGTTATATGATACAAAACACACGGATAACGCACTTCCAAAATTCCATTAAGCTAATGACAAATGCAGATATGGGTTTAAATGTGACAAAAAGTGACACATAAAATTTGCATACCAATCGCCATTCACTTATCAAAATATGATATATTCATTTGGTTATGGTATTATCTGGCATACTATAATGTCAGACAAGTGATGATGATCACTGGTATAAATTGGTAAGCACTTTGTGCTTGTCAGATATTATATGAACTTTGTTTACATTACTATTGAAGGGAACACGTGAAAGTGCACATCCATTGACGTAAGCATACGGAATAACATGTATGTGATCAGTACACATTCTGGAATGGGATTATATGTTTCCTTCTGACGCTGTAAAATATTCTGCATGTTACCGACCATGAATTCCATATTGCAACAGACACACACATACATGCTTAATGCTACTATGTAACTGTTATCCCCAAGGGCTTCCAGATATATTGAATGGGACTAATTTACCATTCTTGTTCAAACATATACATGCATAACTCTCTAATTCCAATTATTTGTAACAAAAGCAAAGAGAAATCCAAACCGTTCATATTAGGTCTTACATAATACGTGTACTTTTCATGTGACATGTGCACGTCCGCATGCACGTGGATGCCACGCCAAACTGATATTATTCCTATTGTAAAGCTTTATAATAGTAAATAATAAAGCAACACAACTGCAGCTTACATATATCCCCATTTTGCAGAAATAATCAATAATATGCATGAATCACCCCAATCAGACCGGGTTCGGTATACAGCCCAGCTATAGACCGTAATGGATGTCGCTTATAGAGTCGCCCATTGATTTCTGGGCTTGGCACTGCCAGCTCTGGCGCAGTACCTCCGCCATCGTGCTTTCATTGGTTTGGCTATAAACGTTGTTGCAGAGGATGCCTTCAGAGACAAGTCCTCTTACATAAAACTACTCAAGTGTTTCACTGGTGAGGATTTACAAACTTCCGGCCAGTTCGGCAGTAACGGCCTGACTGCTGATATAGTGACAATCAGATCGGATGTCACCATTATTAGGTAAGTTCGTTAAAAATGATGTAGACCATCACGTGTTTTATAGCATCCCTTTATAGAGACATTTGTTGTTTTATCTTAATGTTGTTATTTATTTGTTTATAAAGCATTTGATTATATAAATTATTGATTATATTGAAAGTATTTAGTTATGTTTTTCATAACACATCACATATGAAGCTTTAAATATTTCTAACATGTCTCAAGTATTATTTCAAATGGTTGTTGTGTAGTTTATCCCTATCGGTTGTTATCAAGTGTGAAATATACCTGTTATAATGGTCAATCAGCACTTTGCTGCATCTAGTCCATAGGGGCGAGAGGCTGACTCTAAAGAACAAGTCTTCCATAATAGGATTTAGCTGGCATACTAGGTGATGGAATATTTGAGTAAAGAGTTTGTACATGTATATTTATATAGCCTTTCCTATTCAGAATTATATGATGTGACAGATAAGGAACACGTTAATCCTGTTGTCTTTATTTTGGAGACTACAGATTCCTGAGGTGAAATATTTCATTTTGTGTCTGTATTTACTTAAAACCCGAAAAAATATTCATCAATATGTTCACACATAGAAAGTTTATTTGCATCTAACAATACTGTGAATGCGACACTTTCACTGTCACCTTATCATGTGTTATGTCTGTATTACCTGGCCAGCTGTTACCTACCTGCGCTTACCTGTGCTTTCCTTAGTCACCACACGTGCTGTTTGTCGCACAAGATCTTGTGTTTACCGAAATAAGTGTTGCTATGAACGGTGTCGTGTATTAAAACATATCTATATGAATTTGCCGTAGTGGTTATCCTAGCAACTTAAGTGGGAGCATTCTCTAACATAGCATAATGTGAATTACACTTCTGTATACCAATTAGTTTAAACTTACCGTTTCATTAGCCAACCATATAATATATAGCCGTCTGTTCAATCTTACCTATATGGTCCTATAAAGATATTCGAGTGAACACGAATTGTATGATCGTGCACTTCTTTCTTAACTATTGCCATGAAGTTCTACTGGAAACAGCATTGACAAGAATTCCTTCCTCGAGAATAATATCATTTCTGGTCATTTTGAATTATTTATTTTATTAAGAAATCTTGATATGCTGTCATTTGGTACAGGGATTTTACACACCAACAAGCTTATCTAAAAAATAAGTTTAAGTGATAATTCACGTATTTCAGCCTTTCCCTCAGTTTTTCGCTACAGCCAAGTAAATCGTTCCCAGAGACCAATAAAACAGTCTTGTTTTGGTGCTAACATAACCTCTAGCCGTGATCACAAATTGAATTTCTAATTGCTCTGAAATGATGTTATTGCCGTCTCACTTACCCTTGCATAGACGAATATGAATTATTGATGAAACTTTATATGACTGTCTCCGGCATAACGTACAGTTAAATACATGATCCTTCTCTGTGTCCAGTATTAATTTCCTGGCTTCACGCTTCTGACCCGGTGTTGATTTCCCGGCTTCACACTACTGACACGGTGTTGATTTCCTCCCTTCAGGCTTCTGTCCCAGTGTTGATTTCTTAACTTCACGCTCTTGTTCCAGTGTTGATTTCCCGGATTCACGCTCCTGTCCCAGTGTTGATTTCCTGGCTTCACGCTCCTGTCCCAGTGTTGATTTCCTGGCTTCAAGCTACTGTTCTGATGTAGACTTCCCGGCTTCACGCTCCTGTCCCAGTGTTGATTTCCTGGCTTCAAGCTACTGTTCTGATGTTGACTTCCCGGCTTCACGCTCCTGTCCCAGTGTTGATTTCCTGGCTTCACGCTCCTGTCCCAGTGTTGATTTCCTGGTTCAAGATACTATTCTGATGTAGACTTCCCGGCTCACGCTCCTGTCCCAGTGTTGATTTCTTGGCTTCAAGCTACTGTTCTGATGTAGACTTCCCGGCTTCACGCTCCTGTCCCAGTGTTGATTTCCTGGCTTCAAGCTACTGTTCTGATGTAGACTTCCCGACTTCACGCTCCTGTCCCAGTGTTGATTTCTTGACTTCACGCTACTGTTCTGATGTAGACTTCCCGGCTTCACGCTCCTGTCCCAGTGTTGATTTCCTGGCTTCAAGCTAATGTTCTGATGTTGACTTCCCGACTTCACGCTCCTGTCCCAGTGTTGATTTCTTGACTTCACGCTCCTGTCCCAGTGTTGATTTGCTGACTTCACGCTTCTTTCCCAATTGAGACTTCTCAATTTCATGCGTCTCTCCCAGTGTGACTTCCCAGTTCCACAATTCTGTCCCAGTATCGATTTCCCGGCTTCACCCTTCTGTCCCTAGGACATGTCCCAGCTTTGAGTTATTGGCTCTTATATCCTACTGCTGATGTATTGGATCCACATTTATGCTCCAGTGTTTGTGACCCATCCCCACAAGACTGTCTGTTGATTTCCTGGCTCCACACTCCTGTTCCAGTGTTGATTTGCTGACTTCACGCTTGAGGCTTCTCAATCTCATCCCCACAAGACTGTCTTAGCGTTGATTGTTAAGCCCCACAAGACTGTCTTAGCGTTGATTGTTAAGCCCCACAAGACTGCCTTAGCGTTGATTGTTAGGCCCCACAAGACTGTCTTAGTGTTGATTGTTAAGTCCCACAAGACTGTCTTAGCGTTGATTGTTAGGCCCCACAAGACTGTCTTAGCGTTGATCGTTAGGCCCCACAAGACTGTCTTAGTGTTGATTGTTAGACCCCACAAGACTCTCTTAGTGTTGGTCGTTAGGCCCCACAAGACTGTCTTAGCGTTGATTGTTAAGCCCCACAAGACTGTCTTAGCGTTGATTGTTAAGCCCCACAAGACTGCCTTAGCGTTGATTGTTAGGCCCCACAAGACTGTCTTAGTGTTGATTGTTAGGCCCCACAAGACTGTCTTAGCGTTGATTGTTAGGCCCCACAAGACTGTCTTAGTGTTGGTCGTTAGGCCCCACAAGACTGTCTTAGCGTTGATCGTTAGGCCCCACAAGACTGTCTTAGTGTTGATCGTTAGGCCCACAAGACTGTCTTAGCGTTGATTGTTAGGCCCCACAAGACTGTCTTAGTGTTGGTCGTTAGGCCCCACAAGACTGTCTTAGCGTTGGTTGTTAGGCCCCACAAGACTGTCTTAGCGTTGATCGTTAGGCCCCACAAGACTGTCTTAGTGTTGATCGTTAGGCCCACAAGACTGTCTTAGCGTTGATTGTTGGGCCCCACAAGACTGTCTTAGCGTTGATTGTTGGGCCCCACAAGACTGTCTTAGCGTTGATTGTTAGGCCCCACAAGACTGTCTTAGCGTTGATTGTTGGGCCCCACAAGACTGTCTTAGCGTTGATTGTTAGGCCCCACAAGACTGTCTTAGCGTTGGTTGTTAGGCCCCACAAGACTGTCTTAGCGTTGATTGTTGGGCCCCACACGTCTGTGTCTGTGTTGATTGTTGGGCCCCACAAGACTGTCTTAGCGTTGATTGTTGGGCCCCACACGTCTGTGTCTGTGTTGATTTAAAGACTCCATACGTTTGTCTAAGTGTTGATTTTTAGGCCCTACACGTCTGTCGTAGTGGTCATTTTTATGTCCCACACCTCTGTCTCAATGTTGATATTTAGGCCCCGCACGTCTGTCTCAAATGTTGATTTCTAGAACCAACATGTTTGCCTCAGTGTTGATTTCTAGACCCCAAATGTCTGTCTCAATGTTGATTTCTAGGTCTCTAACGTCTGTCTCATTGTTTATTTCTAGGTTTCCAAACGTCTGTCTCAGTTTTGATTTCTAAACCCCAAACGTCTGTCGTAGTGTTTATTTCTATGTCCCACACCTCTGTCTCAATGTTGATTTCTAGATCACAAACGTTTGTTTCAACGTTGATTTCTAGGTCCCAAACGTCCGTCTCAATGTTGATTTCTAGGTCCCACACGTCTGTAAGTATTGATTTCTAGGTTCCAAACGTCTGTAAGTATTGATTTCTAGGTCCCACACGTCTGTCTCGGTGTTCATTTCTAGGTCCCAAACGTCCGTCTCAATGTTGATTTCTAGGTTCCAAACGTCTGTAAGTATTGATTTATAGGTCCCAAACGTCTGTCTCAGTTTTGATTTCTAAACCCCACACGTCTGTCTCATTGTTGATTTCTATGCCACACAGATACCAACGAATGAATGTCGTTCAGAATAAATACATGTACTTTACGTTATTCTTAAATTATCAGATATAGGAAAAATATTGAAATCTATTTGATTTTTAAGTTAGTGCACTCCCTGCCTAGATTGAAACATCGGTTTACCTCAGTCGCCTCCTAGGTTACAAAATTTAGACCCTTATCATCACTGACGAGACTTTGAGGGACGAAACAGTTGTATGATGCAGTTAACTTCATTGTCTGGTTCTACAGTATGTAATTCTAAATTCATTTATATCAAAGATAAGATTCACTTGTGTGTCTTTTGTACAATCTTGAAATCCATGTACTTTAACGATAGGAATGAATGTTAAAGGGTGACAGAAAACGTTTGTTTAGAAATTACCTTCTTATAGATATAACACATCATAGTCAGGAACATATTTAAGTAGGGTGTGTAGATAAATCAGGAAAGTCAATTCCATATCCGGCGTAGTATCCATGGAGTAAACATATAGGAAGGACATGATGATGTGGGAAGGGCACGTCTCCCGATGGGATTGTTGATTTAATTTGTTTTGTTCCGGATGTCACATTTAATGAAGTTTGGCGATGTATATTCAGTACATACGTACATGTATTTAAATAGTCAGGGGTATAAATTCTGTAAGACGTGCATTAACAACCAAGAGTTATAAGTACTTAGATATGTCATTACAGAGTTTCTCATATTGTCCTTAATAGTAACAGCTCATTCATACGGTGACACAAAACAAACAGGAGACATTGTGATGAAATGTGCTTCAGTAGTGTTTAAACACCCGTCCCTTACCAGAAACGGAAAACGACTGTAAAAATATTTTCCATTTTTGTAAAGATGAAAATTCAGACTGTAATAATCTAAGCCTCCACGAATTACGTCTTGTGGTAAAAATTCACGTACCATAGCTTTGTAAACAATAAGTATAATGTGTGGTGAAGAAGCTGCAACTTCCGTTCCACACGTTGTGTTTACAAATCTATATAATAGTTTATAGCCGTTACGGTGAACAATGAGGAGGTGAAATATTTGTTTCACGTCCATGTCCTTTAATCGATTCTGGATCCACCCCTCTAGATCCCTTCTGCTTTTAATGCACTTTGTTGTAATATCATTAGAGGCTAAAAGCAAACGGTGACGCCTATGCTGTCAAAAAGAAACAAATATGTAAATAGCTTATTTTAAAATTATTTTTATTTAGAGATATAAAAATAAGATAATAACATAATGAATTAAAATCACACCATAGTTCTGTCTTATTTGATTATCTCTAATTTCATGGGTTAGATGTTTTAAAAGAGCTTGTATGTACAAGCTACAGGTGAATATCCATGCCTGATTTACTTACTTACTTACTTACTTACTTACTTAGTCTTACTCAGTCGTTACTGAACTCAGGACTTTAGACCTCTATATTCAGATCCAAATCATTCGTCTTAATTGTTAGTTTGTATTGGTCGCTTTTGGACGGTACGTAGGATTTATTTATACTGATATTATGAACCCCGTCTCTCCAGTGTTTATCCAGCCTGTTCTCAAAGGTGTTGAATGTTGGTGCCTGCCTATATCCTCTAGTAGTGAGTTCCATTCATTTACAACCCTTTGAGAGAATGCTTAAAATAAGTAACATATACAACTTGTGCAGACAACATGTTGACTCGTTGACTTGTAAGTTTTTATTCATGGAGGGTTCTCATGTGGTCAAACCCAACAAAGTCACAACTAAGAGTTAAAGGTCAATGTGTCACAAGGGTACTATAAAACCGGTAGGCGATTGACGTTTTTCGGAAGATGACTTTATTGATAGTAGAAGGAAGTTAACATCCTGTAACGTATCCTAATAGAATACGTCACAGTATAAATTTAGACACTAACTTATCTATAGATATATGTACTGGTCACCTTTAGATTGAGGACCTCATGTTAACGGTCTCCAAGTGATATCGGCGTCCTACTGACCATGTCTCCTCAGCTACACCGCACCAATGGCCGGTAAGGTTTAAAGTCTGTTATGGATTCCATATTGAGAAGAAATTGACCTATCGTTTACCATTGCCATACATAGCGAATGTTGTTTAATAATAATAATTGGAAAACCAAATTCGACATCCGTTAGAAACATGTTAGAAACATGTTGACACAACTTGTCACGTAAACAGATATTATAAGTTTTTTGTTATCTGGAGATAAGATATGGATATCAATGTTTTCTTGTCACTTATAGATATCATTAACAGTGTGTAGTACGTCATGATAACTAAAGAAAGAACCTCACTAATACGATGTCCCATTCTTTGTCCTCACTAATTCAATATCCCAGTGTTTGTCTTCACTAATTCAATGTCTCAGTCTTTGTCCTCACTAATTCAATGTCCCAGTCTTTGTCCAAACTAATTCAATGTCCAAGTCTTTGTCCACACTAATTCAATGTCCCAGTCTTTGTCATTCTTTCAATGTCATCGTCTTTGTCCTCACTATTTCAATATCCCAGTGTTTGTCCTCACTAATCAAATGTCCCAGTCTTTGTCCACACTAATTCAATGCCCCAGTCTTTGTCCTCACTATTTCAATGTCCCAGTCTTTGTCCAAACTAATTCAATGTCCCAGTCTTTGTCTTTCTGTCAATGTCATCGTCTTTGTCCTCACTATTTCAATATCCCAGTGTTTGTCCTCACTA